GACGTTCTGAAAAAACAAATTTTGTTTATTTTAATACGCTTACTCTTTGCAAATTCGAAGCTAAAATAACAGAAAAAGACAACATTGCTTCAAAAATAAAAAAAAGCATATGAAACAGCGAACAGAAAAATAGTAAAAATAAATGTATAAAAATATTTAGGGGATTCGCAGGATGTGGTAACCGTTGTAAAATCTTAAGCTTAAATTTTTTTTTTTTGTATGTAAAACAACGGCTAAAAGTAGTTTTTTTTTATCCGTTTAAAGACATTTCGGTGTAATTAGAAATCCTCTAAAACCATTTCAATCATTATTTTACATACAAAAATTTTAAGCTTAAGATTTTACGTCACTTTTGTCACTCTTGTGAATCCCCTAATCATGTAAATAAAATTATAATGTAGTTATAAGATTAATGCCCGGCATTAAAAAAAAAACTCATTTTCTCATAGGAAAGCAAAGGAACGTAATGAATACCGGCGGCAACATGCGTGCGAGCAAAATGATGATATCTAAAATTATTAAGCGTATTGGCTTACAATAGGGGAGTTCACGATGTGTAGCATTTTGGGTGTTAAATTACCACACACTAAAATGCTACAAACCATGAACTCACTGTATACAAATACATATGTATCTGTATGGACAAACAAAGCAAACAATATTTGAAAAATAAAATTAGAAAATGCGCTGGTTAGGGCACAAAATTAATGATATCAAGTTGTTCCACTCGAGTTTGAATATTTACTATTACCGAGTGTTTCAGAAGTATACATTTTTTTTTCTCGCCACCCTGTAGAGCAACAGCTAAATCGAATGTTTTCGTATAACCTTTTTGGATAACACGCTACAGATTACAGATCTGTATACCGGTTTTGGATCACTTCATTTTCCCAAGATATTACCATTTTAAGTTTAAATTGTGAATGAAAAAATCAAACTTTAAAAGTTAAAAAATTTTAAACCAAAAAATTTTGCATAAATTTTTTCCCCTACAGTGGAATCGATTTTTGCTAATGGGAATAGCAGGAAAAATTCTTAAAATTATCTCTACTAAGTATAGCTATGTATGCACACTATATGTAGAGTTCAAAAGTTATGAACGTTTTTTTTTAAAGACGCCCTGCACTAAATAGTTATTAGCATTAAAATATGTAATTTAAAAGCCATTGTTTTCTGTAAAGAATAACTTAGCTACATGATATGCAAAACACTTTTTTAAAGGCATTAGAGTTCGGAAACCATTTAGAATGATGAACCGAATGAGAAAACCCAGATTTAGCTATTTTATATGGTGCTTAAATGAAAATTATTTATATTTATGAAATTCTCTCATAGGAAGTGTTCCAAATCGATGGAAATATTTAGTCCACAGTACTGCTGCCTACATCGTAAAACGGTCAGCTTAACATACATTTTTAGTGTCTCTTTCCAAAGATTGACTGTGCCACCTACAAACGCTGAGGCGGGAAACCCCCTAAAGTGCTACATTTTTTTTTTGCATTTTGAACTAATTTCGCGAAGGCAATTGATTAATTCAAATATTATATTTATTTCTTCATTCACACTGTGCTGCTTCTTCTTCTTGCTTCAAAATCAAATTGCGCAATTTGGGGTAAGTGAAAACACACTCTGACGATTTTTGTTTTTTAAACAACACTGTGTACAGATCCTAGCTGTTGTTAAATAATTATAGAAGCCATATTTAAAATTTTCTAAAACCCTAAAATTCTCAACTTACATACATATTAATTCATTTAAACCATTTTTGCATAATTTCGCTATTTATTAATTTTAATCTCAGATATTTACGAAGCAATTTTGAATTTTAATATGGATTAAAGGAGGAATAATTTTTCCTTTTTCTCGAAATAATTAAGATCCTATGGACATTAAAATTTAAGGATTTTTTTTATGAAATTAGAACGCCAAAGGTTTTTTTCTTATTTTTTCAAACCAACCGATTTTTTTTTTCTAAAATCATTGCTGTTTCTGAAGTCAAACAAAGAACTACTCAATTTGATTAGGAATTTAAGGACAAGTAGCCTTTGACAGAATTATTTTATGTGAAATTATGTAAAAGTGGATTTCATTATTTCAAGAGTTTTTCGTTGGGTCTATAGGCCTATGACCTATACTTGGGGACTAAAAAAGCTCGTGCGATTTTCTTAATATTTATATCAATATTTTGTATGTTGAGATGTTATGACTTTCATAAATAATAAATTAAAAATGTCATTCACACTCGGTTCCTATTTTGTTGTATTGGCATGGGGATGCACTTCCTTTTAAAAATATTCCGACAATCCAATTACTGGTATGGAATGTTTACTGTAAGGGTTCATGCCAGTGCCTATTTACATTACGTCAGCGCTGGCTGGACTGGCTCACTGGACTTACATGCTACTGGAATAATGTATAATAAACACAAAAACGGGGTGGCATCGTATCGAATTCGAGACGAACTCGAGAAAATAAATTTCTCGAATATATTTTTTGGGCTCGTTTCGAATTCAAGGCGAGCTCGAGTACATCAGTTTTCTCGAAAGATTTTTTTTATTGCATAATTCTCGAAACGCCAACGATTCGAAAAATAAAAATTATAGAATCTCCAATGATTCGAAAAATATAAATTCTAGAATCTCCAACGATTCGAAAAACAAAAAATTCTCGAAACGCCAACGATTCGAAAAATAAAAATTATAGAATCTCCAATGATTAGAAAAATTTAATATTCTCGATTTGTCAGAGATTCGGCGAATTCGTTGTGTTTATTGGGTATTTACTTTCGAAATATATTTGTACATCCCCAGATCAGAGTAAAAATCTTTTGGTTAGTATAAATCAAAGAAGGTGCCTGTGTACTAAATTAAAACTCATTTTAGCAAGCTCATTATTTTACTGTTAGGTCATTTTTAGCGAAAAACTGAAGCGTTTGTTAATATAGAATTTCTTAAGCCCTGCATATTTATGCACAAATATTTATTTAAGCTTTCTGCAAGTAACATTTGTTAGCGGGTTTTTCTTTATTAAAGAAATATGTATGCTTCTTCACGATCAGCATAACTTTGATAGTGAAAAGTAGTAGTAGAACAACGAGTAAAGCGCTGTAATTTTAATTGTTGCTTTGATAGAATAATTTTAATAGATTTCGTTTTTTTTCGTTTTTTGATTAAAAGAGATACCTCATATTCCTGCGTTTTCGATTGGCACCACTGCAGAAGTTGTTCCTTAACAGTGGCGGCGCGTGCATTTAATGCCGGATCAGTAAATTGGAATATGCGTGCGGAACCGGAAGGTGAGGCTGTGCCCCCGGGAGTGGTGGGTGTTGACGGTGATCTGAACAACAAGGGGTTTATCGTTTTTAAGCAACGTTATTTTGTGGCAAAGGTATATTGAAAAAAAAAATTAGTTCTACTAGTAATTTCGCTGCGATTAAACAAAATTTGAGAATAGAAAAAGGTCTGAAGTAAACTTTTTACTTGTTTAATGGTTTCTTAACATTTTGTGTGCAAAATTAAACTAAGAAGTTTGCAGTAGAGCTCTACAGTTGGCATTAATGATTTTTTTTTATTGTCTTAATTGATTAGACACTGAGAAGATTGGTGTTTACCGGAAAATTTATTTGAATTTCTACGATTATTAATTTATAGTAGAAACCAAAGTCATTTGGAGTATTTTTCAAACGCTAAGTAAATATGTATAGTATATCTGGTTTTGAATATTATAGAGTAATGAGTTTGAGTTGTATGCATACTAGGGTGATCTAAAAATGCATTTGAAAAGCTAAAGTCGCAATTTTTATGCTCTCACCCCCTAAGATTGTTCTATACCGAAAAAAATATACCTCAATTTTTATTTTGAAATAAAAAATATTTAAAATCGCTCAAAGCGCTAAAAGTTTTCCATGTATTTTATATGGGAAAAAACTTTTCGTAGAAATGGTATGGAATTCTTAAAAATCAATGCTTTTCGACCAGAAAACTCTGTTTCTCTTCAGGAGAATAATACCCAATTATTTTTTGAACAATTTTTATAAAATGCCAGAAAATGCAATGCGGGATAAATAAAAAATTTTCAGTATTAAAAAATGGTTAAATAAACAATCCGATCCGATCGGAAAATATTTATTTTAAAGAATTTCCTTACAATTCCAAGGAAAAGCAGTTTTTCCCCAAATAAAATACATGGGAAACTTTGATCGACCTTTAAATATTTTTTGATTTCAAAATAAAAAGTAGGGGTATATTTTTTCGATATAGAACAATTCTAGGGAGTGAGAGCATTAAAATTTCGACTTTACTTATTTTGGACCACCCTAATGTATACGCAAATGGTTTGCGGTTATCGGCTACCAACACCTTATATTAAATTATCTAATTAACAGTACGAATAGTCCGTTAATGTTTCCTCCTCCACCAAATACCGGTTTGACAGTTTATTTAAAGTAGTTTGAAATTATTGTTAAAAAATTCATGATTATGACTCTGGAGTTGAAAATCTATACATAACAGAATTCAACTTATATGGATAAAAAAAAATTGAAAAGACTTTTAAAAATTCGGCCGGTTGTAATTTCTTATACATACAAGTATACGACAAAAGCATGGCTGCTTAACTCGGTAGGCTCTGGTAGCGGTCGTCCCTCAGCAGACAATGGCCAATCCCTGAGTGCATTTCTGCCATGAAAAAAGCTTCTCAAAGCATTTTTCGTTCAGAGGCGGCGTTAAAACGTAAGTCCCCTCCCTTTTGGGTGACAACATCAAGGCGCAACCCCCAAATACTGAAACAACTTGGTAAGATGGTGACTATTTACTCGACATGCGAGAGTATTTTCGCTGATAGTAAATAAAAGAGCATATTCCAGCCTAGTATTCTATATCAGAAAAACTTGGTAGCAAAGAAGTCAGAATGTATCAAAGCTCAAATAATACAAGCTATCATTTCTGAAGTTAGGAACCTCAGCTCAATCCATGTGCATACGTTTTTTTACAGTAAGCTCAATGATGCGAACGGAAGCTACTAATACTATTCTGCAAGAAGATGTATCGGATACCCCGAGATATGACAGTCTCACTCGGCTCCAGATAACCTAGAGTGTCTGCTGAGTGACCGAATAGTGTCTTAAACGAATTTGAAAATTTACTAAGGTCAGTGCGCCGCGAGTTGGGTTTAAGATGTAACGGCTTTTAACGCTGACTTGGTCATGCCGTAAAAATTGTCGCAACGTGGAAAGGGAGAAGGGCGAAGAAGGAGGCCCCGATTACCATGGAAAGACCAGGTGGTCAGGAACTTTGACTTCACTTGATGTTAGCAATTGGCATCACTTAGCACTGAATACGGCCAAAATCGCTTAGGCTGGTATTTTGCCAAACAAGAAGAAGAAGAAAATGAGTCTGATCTCATTACAAAAAAAAACTTCAATTTACCAATAAAAAAATGTTGAATTCTTGACAGTTTTAATGGGTCTACTGCAAGCAATTTGACTATTTTATGAACTCTTCCGCTGTGGTTGTAGTGGTTGGGAGTGCGTGCTACCATTCTGCAGGGCCTGGCTTCAAGCCGGGTTCAATCCAACAACAAAAAATAAAAAACAAAAAAGGGTTTTTTCTAATATCGGTCGCCCCTCGACAGACAATGGCAAACCTGCGAGTGTATTTCTACCATGAAAAATACCTTCTCATAAAATTACAATCGCCGTTCGGCGAACATCAAGGCGCACGCCAAAAATCGGAGGAGAAGCTCGGCCAAACAGTAATATATGTGTAAACGCCAATTTATTATTATTATTCAGCCTCATTGCGTAAGTCGTAAATTAGGCTAAATTGTACGACTCGACAACAGTAGCATTGCCTATTGTCGTACTGAAATAAGTAAACGACCAAAATCGTCGAAAACTATACAGTGCTGCCAAGTTTTTCCGTTTTAATACACTAGTCGAGTGGAACTCTCGCAATGAGGGTGATTATTATTATTATTATTATTATTATTATTATGAACTCTTCCAATACCAGAGCACACAATCATGAATATCAATACTTATTTTACTAACCGTGTATGTTGTTAAATAATCGTAAACGTTTTTATATCCATAGTTATGTATATTTTAAACAAACAAAAAGAACGTAGCAAATAATTTCTTACTTTGGCGATTGCTGAGAGTTTTGTTTGTCCAGCTGATGGAATTTCGCAAACGGCGAAGCTGGCTTCGATGCAGAGCTGCCAGCGCCACTTACAGTGCGTGTTGTAACTGCGAGAAAAGAATGTTTAATAAATAAACAAATAAGTATATATGTAAATATAAAAGGAAAAACTAAAAATAAAATATACCTACCTTTAGTTGTAGTTGTCACAACGGCACCATCTTTTTCCTTTGTTTCCGTTTTCTCAGTGGTCGATGTAGCTTGTTGCTCTGTTGAGGTGGATATTTGAAGGTCAGTTACATATTATGTATTTGTGTGTGTGTTTTTTTTTTAAATATTTAGTTTTTGTTTTGGTTGATTTGAAGCATTTGTAAAGCACAAAAATACGAAAAAATACAAAAAAGAACAAATATATATATAAAGCATGTGTTAGTCAAAGCTTTTTTAATTTATAATATAAAACAAATATAGATATACATATATGTATATTATTTGTTGTATAAAATTTGAAGCCCAAAATGTTCGCTACACTTTCGGTATTACCAGATACACATTTAAAAATTGTACCACATATGTATTTACAATTTCTTATAGCTACATTCTCATACCAAAAATCCCAAAAAAGAACAAACTTTTTATTTTGCAAAAATAGGTTAGTCCTAAATATTTTTAAAAGGCAGTATAAAAAAAAAAACAAAGTAAAATTCGCACAAAAACCTCCATTTTATTGAGCTCTCAGGTAGAGCTGTTTCCATTTCAAGTTACTGAAACTATTTTTCAATACATTACGGCTTAAAAATTAAACTTTCAAAAACTGTTATTCATCTTCATTAGGGTACCTCATGAAAAAAGTCAGGAAATATTTTTTATATCTTTTTTTGTTCTTTCAAATATTAGGATGTTGTGACCTTTTTAATTAAAGTTAAACCTCAAAAATTTTATTAACTTGAAAAAAAAATAAAAAATTATGTTTATACTAAAAAAAAAAAATTAATTTAAAATTATTGTTTGCAATCGCTTGGAATGGGGACCGAACCTGGGTGTTATTACGCTTACTACTTCAACAACAAAAAAAAGTTTAGAACCCTATTTTACCATTTAAAAAATTTTTAAATCGCGTTCTCCTCATTTTTAAGTTGAAATTCTGTTTTGCCATAAAATGCATTTTAAGTTGACTATGGAAGAGTTAAAATGATTATTACAATAAAACACAATTTAATCGTTAAAAACTTTTTCTAACTTCTCTATGACTACGGGCCATTATATTTTAAGACATTCGCCAAAACATTTCGGAAAAATGTAGAGATTTAAGTGAGTTGGGCCCATTTAAAAGTACCTCCCAAAATCTCATTATTTTGATTCCGTTTATACAATATTTAATATTTTTATGCAGGCCTTTTAAGCTTAAACTCTTCTATCATATGAATGTTTCGAAAAAAAAAATTTATAAACTAATTTATTTAGTTATTTATAAAAAAGGTATTTTCACGTATTGTATGGAGAGTGATGCACCCTAATGGAACATAAACAATTCAATGGTGAATTCTGAGTTACCTACATACACGGTGTAAAAAATCAACAACAAAAAATTGCACGAAAAGACCGAGTACAGGTCGTAAGTCGAGTCGAGTAAAAAACTATGTAGGAGTAAAAGGATATTCTTAAATAATGTCCGAAATAGATATGTTTTGGTGAAAGTTTGTGGAAATAATTATGTTGTACTAAACATAACGGAAAAGAAACTCAGAGATTTTCAGGGTGTTAAAAAATGTTTACCCATATTTTCGTAAATTATTCGATCAAGGTTACGATCTTTACTGGGTTGCTTAAAATATTTATTATCAGAGTTGCAAAGCTTTATTTTCTTAACATTTTTTGAGAATCGTTATTTTGGACTTTTAGTTTTTCCATCATTTTTTAACCATAGCAATGGAGACTGCGTTTTTATCACCGTTTTAAATTTTTTATGATCTAAAAATTTACATATGTAATATAATAATAATGACAGAAAAATTAAATTTCAAAAATAACGGTAAAAATTTATCGAAAAAATAACAATTATAAAATAACTGTTTAATTTTATAGGAAACATATTAATTCAATTTTAACAATTAAAATATGATTTTTATTACAAAGATCATAACCATTACGGTTTCTGCTATTTAAAAAAATATATATATTTTTTATAAAAACTTTATTTATAACTTTTTTAGAATCTACCCGTTAGGCCAAAATTGCTCAAAACCTAGAGATAACTTCGTTTTCCATATTTCATTTTCATATTTTTTACAAAAAATTGTTTTTCAAAATAAATAATTTTAAAATTAAGTTTCCTCCTTGCAAGGCAAGGCAATGATTTTTTCACAAAAATAAACTTTAAATTAAATACCTAAAAATTGCATTGCCTTTAAATATTTACACGTATATTCAAATAGTTTCAGTACTTAAAACAACAAGAGGTTTCATAAAAAAAAATGCATAACACTAGTTAAAAGGTCCCACTGTATACACCTCTAGAAAATATTGTATCTAGTATGAAAAAGAAAATGTATAAAAATCGCATGCAATATAACGAAGAGAACGAAATTTCTTATTTAAGTATAAAAAAAGTGTGTATGCATTTTCATTAGATCGTACCACATTACAAGCAGGCAAAAAAAGTTCGCAGTACACCCCTGAGTCTAAAGTAGTTTTGCAAGGCGATTCGTTAAAAAAATATATTTACCGAACCTAAAAGGCGACCCTTTTCAGATTTTTCGGTGACAACTACATTCGGCAACAAGAAATCCTTTTTAAAATAGTTCTACTAGAATAGTCGAAATACTCCCTTAGCAAAAGTTCAATGACTTTTGTTGAGCTTTAATTTACTGACATTAGCGTGGTACGTTAGGGTGGTAGGCACTGAGATCTAGTGGATAGGTACTAGAATGGGGTACTTGAGGCTTAACTTTGAAAAAAAAACTGTCTCCTCATACTTTAGGATGCAACTTCAAATACCGAACTTTTGACGAAAAATGTAAAAAGTCGACCCCTCGAACCAGTCGAAATTGCTTTGTAAAATTACCTTAGGCTCAGAGACGTACGCGAACTTTTTTTTTCTGGTACGGTCTGATGAACATACTACACTAATATGTATATGATAAGTAAGTATATATTCGCATATGAATGGAAAAAATACGGCATTTAAAAAAAAAAAGTACTAAGAAGCAACGAGCAACAACTTCTTGAACAAATTTGTAACATAGTTATTAAAAAATGCATGCGTCTTAAGCAGTTTTTGCCTGTCGTAGCGATAGTGTACATACATATTTATTCATAAAAAAATCAATGTATGTACATACACTCGCGAACAAAAAAAATGTACAGTGAATGTGTATCGTATAGTTAAATTAAAAGTACCAGGTCTATATGTACATGTATGCGTATGTTTTTAATGTGTTTGTTTGTATATACAGAAGGAGGGACAACATGGTTGTATTATTATTCCAAACAGAAACGATTTTATTTTTTTCCAAATTAGTATTTGTAGTAAAAAATTTTTTTGCCAATTTTCGTCGATATTTTTTATTCACTAATATCAAATTGCGCTTCAATATGCAGCATATCAACACGAACAAACAAATTAACGATCGAGCGTATCAGCGAGTAGAAAAAATAAACGAGCATGTGAATGTGTGTGAGCTGGCGAGCAGGCGGGCAAGTGGGCGATCAGGTAAGTGAGCACAATTGCGCTGAGTGGATTTGATTTGGAGGCTGTGGATTGTGTGGACTGCGAGCTGTGAGGTGTGAGCTGCTTGTGAAACTGGGCAGGGCTGGGCGAGGCTAGGCAAGAAGCTGGCTTCACAACTTGGCCTTGAAAGGCTTTAATAAAATACGAACGAAACACAGTACGTTTACACTGGACTTGTCAGTTTGAGGTTAGTTTTTTTTTGAACAAAGCACTAGCAGGGCGTTTTGCTTTTAACTTGATGGAGAACTTCAGGAAAAAACGTGGCACATGAAAATCGTTGATGAACTCACACTGTATGGAGCGAATGTGTAGCAACCAGCAGAGGCGAAAATGAAGGTGGAACGTTTTCTGGTACCGAATTGTTGGTTTCTATAATCGCTGGAACCAGTAACTCCGCGGGGGCTTTTCAGACGCATATGTGCATATATGTTGATATGGCTATACTATTGTCGTATTTCATTAACATAAAGTGTCAGACTTTCCGTGAGATCCTCAGAGCTACACCATTTCTCATTTCTCTTCACTTATTATACGTTTGCAGTGACATAAAGGGTTCATCGCATGTGAATGGTATTTGTTTGCGTGTGTTTGACGTATGGTGTAAGCATGGTGATAAATAGTTTATATGTACGAGTA